GATTTCTGGTCCCTTTGCCTGAAACGTTGTAAACATGTAAACTGGCTGTAAACGTGTTTGTTGTCGCGTGTTTCAGTTGCTGCTGCTGCAGAGCAACAACATCTCCTCCATCACCACTGAACTGCAGAGTCTGACCAACCTGACGGAGCTCGACCTGTCGCAGAACCACTTCACACAGGTAACTCACCTGTTCTGCTGCACACCGACGCTCCCAGAGCACTGTGTCTGTTCTGGTTCTACTGGTTTCTCTCTGCGTCTCGGTCCAGGTGAGCTCCATGGGTCTGTCCTCTCTGGGCCGCCTGGTCACTCTGTACCTGGAGGAGAACCACATCGAGGAGCTGGAGGACTTCAGCCTGAGGAACCTGTCCAGCCTAGAAGAGCTCTACATCAACCACAACCGCATCTCCTCCATCGGACCCAAAGCCTTCGCTGGCCTCACCAACCTGCTGCGGTAACCACCACAGCTTCTTGTTCTTGTCCTCCTAAAAGACCACCAGAAACACCCAAAGGACCATCAGAGCCACCTTATAGCTCTTAAAACTTCCAGTAAATGTTCCATTAAGTTTCCTGAAGCACCATTTAGCCCGTCTCCATGACAGCTCAATCCTCACCTGGACCTGAAGGAGTTTTAGAACCTTTAACAGATCAATAACTCACCTAAGTGAGCCCTAGAACCCTAAAAACATTAAACTCAACAACTATGGTATCACTTCAGAAAAAGGACGATCAGAACCATCTAAAGGACGTCTAGAACCATTTAAAGTACAAAGTGGACCGCCAAAACTCCCAAAGAGACTTAGAACCCCATCACTGACCACATAAACAATCTATGGAACTTATGAAACCACCTCAGTGGCACGAAAACCACCTTAAGGATCACTAGGTCCTCTCAGGGACTACCAGAACTAGAACCTTTTAAGCACAAATGGATCTACTTAAATAGAACCCAATCAGGGACCACAAAAATCCCAAAGGAATCACTTGAGCCTCCATTGAAGGACCACAAGAACCATGTAAGGGATCTGTTCAACACTCTGAAAGGATCCCTAGACCCTGCTCAGAAAACTACATTCTCTCAGTGTCCATCAAAACTTCCTAAAGGACTTCTAGGACCTTTAACAGCTCAATTCTAACCACCTAGACCCTAAAAACACCTACCACCTTCAGATCCACCTCTTCATCAAGCACAAGCACCACCCACCAGACAACTAGAACCACAGAGTTACCTTCATTTCTGCCTCAACTACTCTCTGCCCTGTGTTTGGTCTCGCAGGCTCCACCTCAACTCCAACCGTCTGGTGGCCATCGACAGTCGCTGGTTCGAGTCCCTGCCGTCCCTGGAGATCCTGATGATCGGTGAGAACCCCATCCTGGGTCTGGAGGAGAAGAACTTCCTGCCCTTATCCCGCCTCCACAGCTTGGTCCTGGCTGGGATGGGTCTGGCCTCCGTCCCGTCCGCCGCCTTCCTGGGCCTCGACTACCTGGAGAGTCTTTCCTTCTATGACAACCGGCTCAGGTGCGTCAATTTTCACTTTAATTTGGAACAAAGGGGCATTTTTGAGGCAGAAATTCAAAGAGCAAAGCACCGAGTCTGTAACATTCTGGCACCGCTGACGTGGATGAACTGTTGTCCTCCCTGCAGATCCGTTCCTCGGGACGCTCTGAGCGTGCTCCCAAACCTGAAGTTCCTGGATTTGAACAGGAATCCGATCAGCCGAATCCAGCAGGGAGATTTCCAGAACCTTCAGCACCTGGAGGAGCTCAGGTCAGTCTGATTTATATTTGGTATCTCTGACATGGAGTCTGATACAACTGTTGTTCCAGTTCCTGTCTTCCCCTGTAGAGGGCAGTGTTTCTGCCACCTTGTTGTACTACATGCAGTGTGTTCAGGTTGTGTTGTGTTTGGCTGCAGTCTGAACAACATGGAAGAGCTGCTGATGGTGGAGCGAGCAGCTTTCCAGAACCTTCCAGAAATCGCCAAACTGGAGCTCTGCAACAACCCTCGACTGTCGTACATCGACCCGCAGGCCTTCAGGTGACTGTCGCCCACTTGATTCCTACACTCTTGTTTTTGAAAATTATTATTCTAGAATAAAAGACATTTTTAAAACCTTTTCGTTGTAGATGCCGATTTTTAGACACAAAATGACCAAAACATGACGCGAATCGACAAACAACTGGGAAAAATGTGAAAAGACTAAAATGAGACAATAAAATGAGACAGACAACAGGGTCTGATGAAGCAGGATCTGAGGTCAGCGAGGTAGCTTCAGGGTAAATCCTGGGTTTTAGGTCCTACGACGTTGGTTCTCTTCTTACCGGGTCCATCACCATGGTAACCTACGCTGAACGGCTAACCTGCTCCGCAGCAGGTTCTGCTGGAGGTTGAGACCACTGGTATAAAACACCTCCACTGGAAACCAGTTCTCTGCCGTAAACCTTCAGAAGGAGCAGAAAACGAAGCAGCTCTCACCAACGTGGCTTCATCAGCATCTACAGCGCTGCTGCTTTCTGCTCCTCTGATGTTTTTATATTCTTCATATCTGGTCCAGAGGATGTTCTGCTCCTCGGCGGTAAAGTGAGCCGCTCTGCAGCCAGACTGGTCCGTAGTCCTGATTGGTCAGAGGCCAATGACTCCGCCCATTTTATGTGCACGCGCTCATACTCAGATCAGACAAACCTGGGTTGACTTACCGAGTTGATGACCACCGTCGTAGGACCGGTTACCTGAGTGGGCTGTTAGGGTTAGTCAAGCCGGATCTCTGAACCACATCCTGGTCTGTTGGTCTGGCTTCGTAGTCCAGGCTCCTGGAGTTAGAGGCAAAATGACAAAAGCAATAAATCAACCAACTACAAAAACACAAACTGACATGAAAATGTGATGTGACCATAAAGAGAAACAAACAACTGCTATAACTATCCAATGACAAGACGATGTGACTACATGACAATAAACTGACCCAAAACCAGCTGGAAAAAAAAAGACTGAAATAAGACGTGAAACAATGAACGAAGAGAGAAAAGATCCCCAACACAGAGGGAACCAACTCCAAAGACACAATGTGACTGTAAAGAGACATGAAATGGACCAAAGCACAAAGTGAATGATGACTAAACGCATAAACGGGTTAAACAGCAGCGTCTGTGTTAAAGTCCAGTGTTTGGTCGACCCGTCGCTCCACCCCGTCCTCCTAAAGTCTTTTGTCAGTAAATTGTCCACAGATGGTGACGTTGCGTGTCCTCCCCACAGCGACCTGTCCTCCCTCAGGACCCTCCTCCTGCACAACAACCAGCTGAGCCTCCTGTCCGGGGACCTGCTGTCGTCCCTGTCCTCCCTGGAGGAGGTGTCTCTGCACTCCAACCCGCTGCGCTGCGACTGCCTCTCCTCCTGGGGGCCTCACCTGGGCAACCAGTCGCACCTGAAGCTGCTGGAGGCCTCCGTCACCCTCTGCTCCTCCCCGCCGCACCTGATTGGACGGGAGCTGCAGGAGGTGGTGGCGGTCGCCTGGGGAGGGGGCGGGGCCAACAGCTGCCTGCCCCACATCTCCCCCCACGCCTTCCCCCCCGCCATGAACGTCAGCGCCGGGCAGCCAATCACGCTGGAGTGCTGGGCAGACGCCGACCCTGCCCCCCAGTTCTATTGGGTGACGCCGAATGGAGACAAGGTGGGCGGGGCCCTGTGTGTGTGTGTGTGTGTGTGTGTGTGTGTGTGTGTGTGTGTGTGTGTGTGTGTGTGTGTGTGTGATACACTTTCATACCCAGGGACACACAACAACTGTAATCAGACACAAAATGACCAAAACAGGACATGAAAAACCACAACGAGGCACACAACGCCTGTACAGAAACACACAGGAAGTGTAAACATCCTACGCACGACTGCAAACAGACACGGATCGACTAAAACAAGATGCAAAATGGCCACAAAGAGACAGAAACTAAATGAAGTAGATACAAAACAACAGTAAACAAACTCAACACAGCAGTAAACAAACACAAAACAACAGTAAACAGACACAAAACAACAATAAATAAACACAAAACAACCACAAAGAAAAACAAAATGAAGAAACAAACCCGTGAAAGTCACGATGAAGGAGTCCAAACACTCCGTTTGTCAACCCGTCCATCCACCCTGTCCTCCTCCCCACGCCTTCACCGCGGCAACATAACCTGATGCTCGCTGTGACCACTGGGTGGCGCTGTCCCTGAAACCTTTGCTGCCTCTCACTGTCAGAACGCAGAATATAACCTCTACATTTTTTATGATCATATTATTTTTATAAGTCGACAGCTGGAGCCTAAAAATAACGAAGATATAAAAATGAAAATGCTGCAGAACTCAGACTGAAACATGTTCTCATGAAAACCTGGAACTTCTCAACCTTTAATCAAAGAGGAGAGAATGGATTGTCCATTGGATGACATTTGGTTAAAACTCTTGGATTTAATTTTACACCATGTGTCGTCATTTTTATTAACACATGCTGAGTTTCTTCCACTAGAAAGCTAATCTAAAGTAAAATCGAGTTAAATAAATAAAAATAACCTGAATAAAAGTAAATAAAATAAAGTGAAATAAATATGAAAATAAAACATGTTTAAGAATTAAACAAATTTAAATCCAGATTTTTTTAAATTATATAAAATACATTTTTTAAATTAATAAAACTAATATAAATCTGCTTTAAAAAAAATCAATTAAATAATTAAATGAATAAGTCAAAAATGGAAACAAAATATACACAAAAAAATAGAATGAACACAAGCCTTAAAAACAGGAAAAATATTTTCTTTAAAAATATGTATTGATTAAAATAAATAGTATATCAAAATAAAAATAATTTTAAAATAAAACCCAAAAAAAAAAACTAACCTTAATAAATATAAAAAATAAAGAAAACCAATTAAAAGTAAACTAAAACATGAAATCAAACTAAATTAAATAAATACTAAAAATATTTTAATAATCAAATAAATGAATCCAATAAAACAACATCAAATATGAAAAACAAGATAAATATATGTGAATATAATTATGTACCTGTAGAATATTCTAACCAGGGATGAATAAAGCACACCTTTAAAGATGCATCAAAGATTGTAATTGTAAATCTTCCTACCTGCTCAGGTGAGCTCCGAGGCGATGGCTGCACCAATCATATCAGAGGAGGGGCGTGGCCTGAGCCGCAGGAAGAAGAAGCACCGAGTGTCCGAACCTGGAGCTCTGGTGATCGAACACGCCGAGCCGTCGGACGCAGGTCAGTCTGGGTCACATCGCTAAAAACCTGAAACTCCACGTTGGCTCTGTCATCATGACGCCTGTTCGCCTCCCTCAGGTGTGTACACCTGCGTGGCCTGGAACATCGAAGGAGCCGACACCAAGAGCATCTCCGTGTCCGTGGACTCTGAGGGGGGCGGCTGGAGGGGCGACGAGCCCAGCAGAGACCTGACCTGGCTGGGCAACTCGTCCAGCAGCGCCACAGCCTCCCTGGTGGTTCTCGCCAAGGTGGGTCTGGCCTCACGTTAGTTATTACAACACACGGTTATTTCCATCTGCGATGTGCTACAAGAATAATAATAATAATACTAGTAATAATAATAATAATAATAATAATAATAATAATAATAATAATCATCATCATCATCATCATCATCATCATCATCATCATCATCATCATCATCATCAGATGGTCAAACCACCAGGATGACTGTAGAATTTATATTTATTTTAATATTTGCATTTTTGTGTTTTTGTTGGGTTAATTAAAAGACACCTAATTATTATTATTATTTTTTTTATTGTTGTTATAATTATTTACATAGAAATTTAATGTTGTTATTATTTAAATAGTGTTGTCTTGTTTTATTTAGTTTATATTATTATTGTAATTTTTGGTTGTTCTCGGGGGATCACTTTGAAAGGAACCAAATGTTCTGAAATATTTCTGGTATATTAAATGTCAGAATATTACTCTGATATTAAAAATCCTGTCTGATGTAAAATGTATAAAATATTGATGTAACATTAAATATTAAAACACTACTGTGACGTTAAATCTATCAGCATTTGTCTCATCTAGTCCACCTGTGTTCTGCTTCCTGTCACCTGTGCAGGTGGTTCACGCCCAGTCGGTGGTTCTGGAGTGGAAGTTGTATCCCAGCAGAGGAGCTTCGTCTGCGGGTCAGAACCAGCAGGACGTCCCCCTCCCGCTGCCCCGGTGGACCAGCGCCACGGTCCACATCGACAACCCTCAGATCAGCTACACAGCCAAGGTTCGTACGCTGCTGCACCGTGTCACCTCCGGGTCCCACCGGGTCTGACTCGACTCGACTCAGTGTGGCCCGATAGAGGTGCAGCTGTCACGAGTCAATCAAGTCGAGTCCAGTTAACAAGTACGAGTCAAATGCAGCCAAGTCAAGTTAATTAAGGTGAAATCAGGTCAGTTTGGGTCATGTAAAGTCGACTCGCAGCGAATCGGGTGGTTCAGTAGAATCAAGTCAAGTCCGATCAGTTCGAGTCGATGAGGCAGCGTCTAGTGCAGTCGAATCAATTCAAGACAAGTCGCATCGAATTAGGTAGAACTAGTCAAGTCAGTTAAACTGAGTCAGATCGAGTCGAGTTCGGCCAAGTCAAGTTAATTCAGTCAAGTTGGGTCGAGTCGTGTCAAGTCAGGTGAAAAATAGCAGAGAAGAGTCGGGTCAAGTCAAGCTGAGGTAAGTTAAGGCGAGTGGAATTAAGTCGAGTTAAATCAGGTTAGATCAAGTCAAGTCACACAGGCTGAGGAAAGTGGCTCCAAGTCAGTTTATGTCAAGTCCAGTCAAGTCAGATAGAATCTCTCTGACTCAGGCTGACCCGAGTCAGTTTACATGAGGGTTAGTCCAATGCATCGAGTCACACTGATAAAAAGCAAGTCAGGTCAAGTTGTGTCACATCAAGTCCATTCGAGTCACATTAAGTGGAGGTCAGCCAAGTCAAGTCAGTGAGGCTGAGGCGAGTGTGTCTTTGTCTGAGTGAAGCTGGCTCACATAGAATCTAGTCAAGTTAGTCTCACCTGAGTCAGGTCAAGTTGAGTCAAATTAGGTCAAGTTAACGAGCTTGAGGCAAACGTGTCCAAGTCAACTTAAGGCCAATCAGGTTGAGTTGAGTCATACTGTGTCAGGTGGAAATAGCCAAGTACGTCGAGTCAGATGATATCAAGTTAGGTCGACTTGAGGCAAGTGGAATAAAATCAAGTCACATCAAGTCAGATCAAGTCAAGTTAGTGAGGCTGAGGCAAGTGGATCTGAGTCAATTTTAGTGAAATCAGGTCACATAGAATCTCACTGAGTTAGGCTGACCCGAGTCAGGTTCCAATAGGTAGAGTGAGGTCAAGTCAAGTGGATCAAGTCACACTGAGTCAGATCAAATCAAGTCAATTTGAGTCGAGATGAGGCATGTGGATTTAAGTCAAGTCGGTTCAGATCAAGTTTATTAAAGCTGAATCAAGTCGAGTCAAGTCAATGAGGCTGAGACAAGGTGATCCAAGTCAGTTTAAATAGTCAACTATTGCAGGAATGAATTCAGATTAAATCAAGTCACATCAAGTGATTGAGGCTGAGGCAAGTAGACCCAAGTCTGTTTAAGTCAAGTCAAGTCGGGTCAGACAGAATCCTGCTTAGATCTGAGACAAGTCAGGCTGAACAAACTGGAGTTAAGTCGATGAGTTTCAGGCAAATTAATCCAAGTCAGTTCGAGTGAGATCAGTTTGGATCAAGTAGAGGTGAGTGGAACCGAGTCCGGTGGAATTTTTTAAACTAAATCGAGTCAGGTCGGGTCCAGTTTAAATGAACTGGGTTCTCTTCCAAGTGTTCCGGTTCTGCTGTGGTCACTGCGGCGAGTCGACCTGCTCAGGTGTTCCATCCTTCTCTTGTCTGCAGGTTCCTGTCGATGTTCAGGAGTACAACCTGACTCACCTGCTTCCCGCCACACAGTACCACGTCTGCCTCACCGTCTCCTCCTCCCCCTCTTCCCCTTCTGGCTCCGCCCCCTCACCCATGCCCCCCTCCTCCTCCCCCCTCCCCCTGGCGCCCGTCCACACTTCCTGTCTGAACGTCACCACCAAGGACTCGGGCTTCTTGGTGGAGCTGGTGGCGTCGCGGCGCAGCAGCGTGGCGCTGGCGGCCGTCATGGGCTCCATGTTCGCCCTGTCCATCATGGCGCTGCTGGTCGTCTACATGGGCCGCCGAGTGCAGCAGCACAAGTCCTGCGGACACTCGCTGAAGAAGTACATGCAGCACGCCACGTCCATCCCGCTGAACGAGCTGTACCCGCCGCTCATCACGCTGTGGGAGAGCGAGGCCGAGAAGGACAAGGACAACCAGGAGGACGAGCAGGAGGGCGGCGACAGAGGGGCGGAGCCTGGAGGGAGCCAGATCGACACCACCAAGACCTACATGTGGTAGCCGAGGGTCATGTGACTCAGCCTGGCAGACGAGCCGAGGGGTGGAAACATCCCAACATGGCCTCTGAGAGGAAGGAGGGGACGGATCGACTGAAGGACCAATCAGCTGCTTCCTTCTTGTTTCAGCCCGTTAATTACAAACATCTGATCGATCTCCAGCAGTCAAACTCTGCTGCTGCCGTCGAAGTCCGTCTGTTCAGACAGTTATTCTCGTGTAATTTTAGAGTTTCACTTTTGGATTTATTTACCTTTATTTCAAAACCCCAGAAACACGAAACAACCGTAAACTAAATGTGTCTCGACTCTTTGACATACACTCGTTTTTCTACAACGAGTGAGTTTGTCCGTCTTTGATTAAATATAAACTTAAATTTTACAGCTAGTGTCGACTCAAGTCAAACTTTCCTTAATTAAGGAAAGCTTAACGTTCAGAGTTGAAGCTGAACCATCAATGATTTTTGGAGGCCACTGTGATCATGCAGGACGTCGTCTGTTTCTCTGTCATTGCATTTTGCTTTTATCCAACCATACATTGAAGGTTTTCAGTGTTTCCTCTCAACGACGGAACACCTGCTGCTCTCAGATTACAATCCGGACTTCAGACGGATTTACAAGCAAACAGGATTTTATCTGTTTCTGGGCTGAAACTTGAAAAAGCAGCTTTAAGGTTCTGCTCTTTGTTTGTTCCTTTAGTTTCCGTCTGAGCAGCTTCTTCTGTCCAAACGGACGTCTGGAGGCGCTGACGGAAGGTTTGTTGTTCATCAGCTGCTTTAACGGGACGATTCTTCCTCCAGAGGCCGGACAGAGCCGTGAGTCCAGATGTTTCCAGATGTTTCCACCTCTGTCTCCTGTCTGCACACTGACGGTAGCCGGACTGTTCAACAAACCGATTATTGTAATTTAGTTCATGTGATGAACACGAATGCAGCACCGACACTCAGCACAGGAGCCACGTGGAGGACCGACTGTCAGCGGAGGTCAAAGGTCCCGAATTCATGAGTCCAGTTCACCAGAACCGCTCAGAGATCCGCAGAGACGTGAGGATTAAAGCGTCCTGGTGGAACTCGTCGTGATTCTGTTGAACTGAAGTCATTTCATCCATCACCGTGAGTCTCGTGTTATTTCTTTTGCAGGATTCGATTCCTTCGTCCTGCAGCTGTTCAGTTCATTTTTGCGTCCCGGGTTTTAGTCTCAGAACTTTCTGGGGAATTATTTACTCAATTTACGAAGCGCCACAGTTCAGAGCGTGCGGGAGGAGCTCGGGGTGGATGGAGGGCGGCAACAACAACAGCTGCATCACAAACGGTTGTGGTTTCAGATCGATGCGATCGAACACGCTGCGTCTCACGAGTGGACTTCTGCGTCATCGTTTATTCCGGTAACGGATTCTTCTCGACGGCTTCAATTTCTTTCTACTTTAACTCCCCAGTAATCAGAGATGGTTGATCTACTGTCCAGTACGACAGATTCTGGATCAATAAGATGATCAGAAACAACAGAGTCCAGGTTTTTATCTTGAACAGTTCCTCAGATGTCGTTGATCAAACAGACTCAAATTTCAACGTGAGAAAATAAAACCTGCTGAAAGATGATCAGCGGAGAAATAATTTAAAAAAATCTCAAAAGTATCTGACACCATTTTAAATATCTGTAGTTTATCGTAAAGTGAATCAGAGACGGTTGTAAAACTGTGATGATGGGAGATGAACGACTTTCATTCTGCAAACAGAAGCTGTTGGAGGAAACAGGAAATGTTTAAACAGGATCAGCAATAAGTCTGAACTCAACAAACGCCAATAAACAGAAGCTAAAGCTGCCTTTCTGGGGTTTTTGCAGCGCTTTGTTCTCGCCGTCCTCCAGCCTGCAGACTCTTCGGGACCTTTAACCTCCTCAGACTTCACCGCATCACTCCTGCGTTTTCCTCCACGCTGAGGAACTGTGTGGACGCTAACGGTGAACGCCACGTTGAGCTTTTCTCTGACTCGTTTCTATCGGTGCTGCTGCTGCTGCTGCTGCACGTCTTTGCACTTCACTGTTAGGACTGTTTGTATGAAAGCAGACAACCTGCAAACTGCCGGAGCTGAAATCTGAACACAAACGCTGATTAAACCCCCAAAGAACTCTGTGAGGCGAAATGAAAACAGTTCCACAGCTGGGCAGAAATCCCACTGTCATCATTTAAGGACCAAGTCAACGGCGCCAACATAAAATTACATGAACATCTGCAAAAAATAAAAAGTTGGTTTAAAAAATTCCCAAAATGAGAAGGATGACCAACTAAACATGGAACATGGAGGAACGTTTAAATAGATGTTTGTTTTTGTGGTCAAAGAAAATCATCCTCAGTGTGCTTCAGTGTTTTCTCATAAACCTGAAACACTAAATTGTAATTTATAATACAGAGACGTCATCACTGATCATTCAGAAGTGAAACTTTTAAACATGTAAGTCATAAATGTTCAGGGTAAAAGTTGCTTCAATTTTCCTGAAAACCGGTCAAATAATTGATGGTTTCTGCTGCGAGGATGTTTCAGATGAGATTGTTTTATTGCCACATTTTTGTGGTCAGAATTTAGAATATGAAATTGGAGCTTAAAGAATTTAAATTGGTGTTATTCTAGTTACTCAAACAAACAGGATGAATTCAAATCCCAGAGTTCTGGTTTGAAATTCCAGGATATTTAATCTGAATTTTATTCTGGTAACTGAATTTGACCAACTTCAATATTTCTGGTCAACATTTTTAAAATGTACATTTTTGATTCTGAATGATTAATTAGGATTTCTTTCCAAAGCATCATGACTGTATGTATGACAGATCATGCCGAGAACAGCGTCCTGTTTGAGAATTTCAGCGCCGTTATTTTTCTACGTTTCCGATTCGATGCTTCGGTTTTTGGGTTTCTTCGCTCCACAGTTTGCAGGTTCGGTTTTCCCGCTCTTAGCCAAATATTCCCTCAAACTGTCTGTCAACCAAAACTCTTCAGGAACAAACATCCAAAGGAAGCTGCAGCGTTTAAAGAACATTCACTGTAAATACGTTCTGTTCACGTTTGCTGCTGGAACGTCTCTGGTTCTCTGGTTCTGGTGAGCAGCTGTTTGAAGATGCGGAGCCTCGGCGGCGCCCCCCGGTGTCGACCGCCGACAACAGCAAGCAGAACCAGAGGCAGAACGCAGCAGAACTCACAGTAATATGCAGGGTATTTTGTACAAAGTGTATCGCTCTATATTTGAAGAATTGCTCATATTATTATGATTATTATGATTATGAATAACTGGACACTGAGCACCGACTGTACCTGAAGCTGTGTCAGATTATATAAAACACTTTGTCACTCCACAGACTCGAGTCTTGTTGCTGTTTAACAACATGCGAATGAATCTTTCCATGTTGAAGCTTCACAGTCACCTTCCGTGATTGGCTCCATGCCGGCGGTGATGTCATAGATCCCTCAGGAACGTCCTGAGGGCTGAACTATGAAATGAGATCAGTGGGTTGTCATGTTTGTTGAGCTTACAGTCAGAGTTTTCAATGTCATGAAGGTGGCTCTCTTTTTACCTGCGAGGTCTCCATGGTAACTGATGCCGTGGAGCTAGATCTCCATGGTAACTGATGCTGTGGAGCTAACCTGGTCGGGAGCAGGTTCTGTTCAGAGTTTCAGATGTAAATCAGCTGACAGAGCGTCTCCCTTTAACCAGACGCTTTCCTGACTCTTATTTATGAGCGATCCAGATTCTCGGCTGAGGTTTAATCTGCTAACATGCTGAGCTGTGTGTTACTAATATCACTGAGTGAAGCCGTGTAGTTACAGCATCACACACTGTATGCATCACGTTGCCATGGGAACCAGACTTGTGATTGATTTTCTGATCTGCTGTCAGGTCCGTTTCCTCTGCTGCTGCTGCAGCTGATAGAACCGATCAGAACATGGATGATCCTGCTGCTAGTTATTACAGAGAACATTCACTCAACTTCTTTTTCTCACCGTCTGACATTAAATGAGACGAAACTGTTCCTGTTTCAGCTCAGTCAGGATCACCAACATTATTTCTATTTGCTAAACACCAGAATAATGAGAGAGAGAATGTTTGTAGTTTGTAGGAGATTTGTGTGGCTGCTCTCTTAAAGGGGAAATAAAGCACACAGTCATGTGAGCATCATCCACTGCATGTATTTCCACTCTATTCAGAGTGTTGGTGTCTTGTAGAGAAGACACAGAACAATCTTCTTTGTCCTTTGATATGCTCACGGTGTCATGGTTGTTGTTTACCCTCTGAACAGAGTGGAAATACATGCAGTGGATGATGCTCACTTGACTTTAAAGTTTTCTGGTATGAAATAGACTAAAAGGTTGATGAAGTGGACTGGGGGCGTCGACCAGCCCAGACCACGTCCCACCTCGGGGGATGTTTGGGCCGAGGACAGACTAAAGCTGGGTCCAGGTGGAGGAGGTTCATCTGAGCTGCTACAGCAGCTTCAATAAGGAGACCAACGGCTTTGAGATGCAGATGAGACTTTATTGAAACAGAGAAAATCATGAGAATGAAGCGAAACACGATCAATGAAGAACACGCAGGTTGACTGATTTGGTTGATGGAACGTTTCTTAAGGAACTAAACCTCTGAGATGTCAGCGATTTGACACGTTTCATTATTTCATCAAAGGAGGAAAATAGAGAAGAAGGAAAAAGATTCAACAGAAATATGTTGGATTCTTTTGTTTGTGCTCAGTGAGCACGCTCAGCTCCGTCACCATGGCGACATCAGCGGTAGAAACACAGGAACAGCTCAGGTGCACAGCCGCAGTGGTTTCCTGCGTTGAGGCTTTTCGGGATGACCTCAACACCGGCGGCCTCAAATGGATCCACAGCTGCTTTAGTGACGACCAGAGTGAGGTCCTGGATGGGGCTGCTGCTGCAGTCGTCCTTCTTGGACCACAGGAACACCGGGTTTCCTCCGGTCCCCTGGTTCAGATCCATGTTGACTGGTTGATACTTCTGGCTCTGAAAGCCCTGATACTCGCTGTCATTGGTGGAGACCTGCAGGTCTCTGATGGCCCCCCCAGGCTTGGTGGACTGACGGTACCAGATGAAGACGTAGGCGCCTCCTGCTCCTCTGTTGGTGTCTTCGTCCACTCGGATGTAACCGTTCCTGAAGTAGTCGTCGTCTCCCTGGAAGGTGGCGGTGGCGGCGATGTCGCAGACGTACGTGGGCTTCTCTCGCTTCACCCACACGAAGACCCAACATCCTCCGGCCTTCCGGTTCAGATCGAGGGCCAGTCTCTCCCAGCCGAATTTAAACTTCTGGGCTTCATCGTCTGTAGA